GCAGTCAGAGCGACGGTAAGGCGCTAGTGTGGGGGGCGCCGCCCCAGGCCATACGCGCCCAGTACCGCACCGGCGACGGGCGTACCAAGACCTCGCTGCTGCTGGTTTCAGGCTGGTGGGGCCTGGCCCGCCACTTCCACTACCTGCCGGAGCTGGTTGCGGCCGCCATCTGGAGCATGCCCGCCTTCCACTTCGCCATCATGCCATTTGTATACCTCGCGTTCCTCACCATCCTCCTGCTGGATCGGGCATACAGGTGGGGCGGGGCTCACGGGAGCGCGTGGCGCTGCTCCTCACCCCTTTCAGGGTGGGAAGACGTCCTGCCACAGCATAGTCTCTCCTCGGCGTCCATGTTCTGGTCACGTGGGCAATGCAGCCATCGTGCACCTGCCAGTACCAGCTGCTGCATTGACCCCACCGCGTTGGCGCATCACTTCCACAACGTCGAGCCAGCCGAGTTCTACACAACCAACACTCCCTGACCCTCACAGGGATGACGCGAGATGCTCTGCCAAGTACGGCAAATACTGGGACCAATACTGCCAGCGTGTGAGTGGGTGGGAGGAACAGGCATGGTTGGTGTCCTGCGTGGGACAGGAGGTTGGTAGACTGCTGACAGGGCGCCTGCCGACAGGTGCTGCTCAATGTCCAAGAGCCTCTCGCCAATTCCATTGCTCCCATCTTCCTGTACCTCGCCAGGTTCCATACCGAGTAGTGCCATACCTCTTCTAGAAACACTGTACCTCTACCCTGCAAGAAGAAGGGGAGGGGGCCAGGCTGCACTCCATGTCCCCTCCCCCACAACAACCCTGCTCCAAGCAGCTCACTCAAGAATCTACTAGGGCCGCGCCTCCACTCTCTGTGCTTGCGGCTCTGGCATGGCATCCATACCGGCGCATACTGAGACCCTCGCCCCCAGCTGCTTGAAATCTTCTCCTCGCTTGCCGCCTCAGGGGATCCTAACGCCTGGTTTTTGCTGCGATGCCATGTCCTTGTCGCTGCGTGTTTTCACTGCTTTTCTTGTGGCCCGACAACTGGGCCAACCCCCTTCCCTGCCGCCGTGCGGGACTGCAATTCCGCCACGTCCAAGCCGCAGGTCACACAAAGGAAGAGGGGGGTTCACCACTCAGAGCAAGCGACATGCAGGGTTCGCACCCGGCCCCGCTCGGCCTCAGAGAGGCACAGCGCAGCATACGCTGCCTGCAGACGCAGCGTGGTGGGGCCGGGGGAGCCCCTGCCAATGCGCCTCCCGTCAACCCTCACCACCGGCGTCAGACCGCCAAACGTGCCGGTCACGAAGGCCTCGTCCGCCCCGTACACCTTCCGGGGAGGGGGTAGAGATCATCGAGTGTGTGGGGTTGCTGGGCGTGCAGCTCACCTACGCACTGCACCCTCATCAGAACCGGAATGAAATCCCACCTGCGTCACGGTGAAGTCCAGCTCCCTGCATGGGATGCCCTCCTGCTCGCACAGGCCGAGCACACTGGCTCGAGTGATGCCGGGCATCTGGTAGCGGGGGGTAGGGGCCCATACCTGGGTGGGGTGGTCGGGAGGGAGGAGTCAGGCCGGCAATGGGCCCATTGGGGCATGCCTGGTGTTGAGTGGCACCCTCTGCTCCCCACGGAGCTGTGCGGGGAGATGAGTGCGCCAACCTGTGTCCACCTTTGGGGTAGCACTTGCGTCACTTCACCAGCCAGGCATTCAACACCGCTAGCCAATCCGTGCACCACCCACCTGGCACTGGCGCTCGCCCCGGATGTCTATGTGCGACCGGATGATGAAGAAGTTGGTGGAGTTGCAGGTGGCCACAAATCCATGAGGGTCCAGCATGAGCGCCTCGTCAGCGCCCGCCGCACTGGCCTGTGCATGAGGGTGGGAGCAGGGATCGGTGGCTGAGCCTCTCACCAGGCTCTGCAGAGTGTCCACTAGGAGCTGCAGGCTCAAGCCGTACAGCGCATCCATCCTCGCCCCTCCCTGCTCTCTGCAGGTACTCGAGCTCAGACTGGAGCGTGCCTGGATGCAGGCCGAGATGCAGTTCAGCTTGGAGTGGGAGTTCCAGCCTGGGTCCTGGACGTCGGGCGGGCCCCGCCTCACGTGACAAGTGAAAAGGGAGATGCCATCTTCCTGCGTGCGGTGAGGTGGAGGTGCGCCATGCTGAGGATTGGGGCAGGGTACCTCAAGGGTTTGGTTGTAATGGTCAGGCACCGGCAGCGGTGGGGTTCCTTCAAAATCAGGAGGCACAGCAGGAGGAACCCGCTGCTGTGAAGCTTGGGCACGCATGCCTGTGGGCCTGGCGCAGCCTCCTTGTATTCTGGGATGATGACGATGGTGGGCAGCCCGATCGTTGTCTTGGGATTTTGGTATGGCTACAGTGGGGTGGTTTATGGGGGGTGTTAGTGCAGCAACAGGAGGAAATTTAAGAGCTGGCTTCTACAGAGTGGCGCATGACTGTGCAGCACTCTTGTGCATGCTATGAGACACCTGTTCACCCCGCAGGATCCGCATGGCTCCAAGTGCACACCGTGGGCTTCAGGCCGCGGGTGACCATGAGACGAATGTGGACCCCTGTCTGCATGGCATTGGCATCCACGGTGGCATACACAAGCCGCAGGAGCTGCTCAGGGGTCATCCCTGCACAGCGCCCCGTGGCCGGTGTGAGGTTTGAATGCGTGTTCCATGAATGGAAGGAGCGTCACCAGTAGCTGGAAGGGTATCGCTCTGTTCAAGTCCGGCAACCTATATTCACATGATCATCGAGGCTCACTGGTGGATGCGACCCACATCACAACACCCTGCCCCCGGAGAGCATGCACACACCCAAGACTCACCGATGGACATGCCGATCCCTGCCGCTCCCTCGAACAGCCGCGCCAGATGCCTGTCCGCAAACAGCACCACCCCGTTGAGCAGGCGCAGGCCCTCCCACACCCCGTCGCCCAGGAGGAAGCCAGACTCCAGCACGGAGACCGTTGCGGCCGGGCGCCACACCAGGTCGAAGCTGCCTGCAGGGTGCTGTCGGGGCTGGGTCAGGGGAACAGAGGTGTGACGCTGCGAGAGGTATGCACTCATCAACCCACCTGCTCCCTCCACCTGCAACCGCCTGGTTACATTCGAGCTTGCCTTCCCCCCTTCCCCCCACCCGGAACTCCACATCACACCTGTGACCCCATCGCGCATGCCCACGAGGGTGTCGTCGTTCCGGCTGTCCGGCGCATACTCGTGCGTTCCGCCTCGGTGTACCGGGCAGGCACCAGAGTCCAGCGACAGCAGGCCGCCCCCGGGCCTCGCGCTGCGAGGCCGCAGGGCGCGCCGGCTCAGCACGGCATACAGCGCCTGGCACTCCTCCAGCAGGGGCCGCAGCGTCGGGTCCAGCGGCGTGCGCCCCTTGACCGCGCTGGCCCCTGGCCCCCCGCCCCCCTTTCCAAAGCCGGTGGAGGCGTGGGAGCCGGCGTACCACCAGGGTGCCCACGGCCCGTCCTCCGGCTTGGGGCCCACCTCCCAATCAAGCATGGCCGGGTCCGGGGCCATACCCAGCGCGCAGCACAGCAGGCTCAGGGTGCCCTCCGCATCCCGCACCAGGTCCTCTGACAGGATGATGGGCACCCCGTGCCTGCTGCGGTGTGGGGATGCAGAGAGGGGAGGATGGCGGGGACGCGAGTCTGATGTGTGCTGGGATGGAGCGGGAGGGGACGGCGGGAGTGCGTTTGGAGTCGGGGATGCATTCCGGGACGGCAGGAGGGTCCACGGATTCTGGCCCTCACCCTGAGTCGCCCACGCATGGTCTCTCGCGCAGGCAAGCCTGCTGCTGGTGTAGGGAGGGGCGCGCGGTCGATCACCCTCAACTCCTGTGAGCATCCGGTGAGGTCCTCACCTACTGGTTCGGAGCTCGCTGGCCAGGCTCAGCAATGCGGGGTAGCACGTCTCCTCCAGGGTGGCCGGCAGAACCTTGGAGAACGAGCGTATGACGGCGAGCGGATGTCTGTCATGGAGAGGGTGAGGGGGCCACCGGCTATGGCAAGTGGGCGCTTGGCACAGCACGGCTACAGGGTAGAAGCAGAGGTTGTCTGGTCGACAGGGTCGAGATTCTGCCCGCATCATCCTCAGATCGTGCCTTGATAGCCCCATGCAGAACTCACCTCACAAGCAGCATGTGCTTAGAGGCAGGCCCAAAGGCAGTGAGCGGAATATCCAGCCTATGCTTAGCCATGTGCTTTGCAAATGTGAACTGTGAGGTGGCAATGATTGAAGAATGTGTGGTTTGGGATGTAGAGTTGCATATATGTGGTGTTGCGGAAACCCTCACCCCTGCCGGAGCATCAGTACCTTCCCTGCATGGGGCTCGTTGAGGCTCTGGATTACCTCAGCCGCTGAAGTCGATTGAGCGTTCAGCACCTGTACCAGAGGATGGTCCTGGCGGCAGTTTGCATGCAAAGACTAACAGACATGATGGCAAGCAGGGACCAAAGTGTTGGGTCAGACCCACCACCCACAGCAGCACTCCCGGCATTACCAGGTCCCTGTAGGGGCGTTCTGCGCCAGTTCTGGCGAGGTAAGACGCATAAAGCGGCTCGTCAACCACCTGTGTGGCGGATCGATCGTTGCTGAGGCCTGCTCAGTACAGCACGCCTTCACCTGAGGGCTCCGAAAACCCTAAGGGATTACAGTACCGGTGGCCCACATCCGCTTGGCATAGACGTTGCACCTTGGTGTCCGATCGCTGTCGAAAAGAATACATGAGGGCAGTACTGACACAACGCGGCCCCGACCAGCAGTGTACAGTGATTGGCGGAGGTGCCGGCCTCGAGCCCTCGCAGATCGGTGTGTCCATTGTGTACGTCCGGTTGTTGTCAAGTGGTGTGAGAAGACCTTTACACAGAAGTCCGACGCCAAGTGTGCTCCAGAATAACCTGCAAGTGCACGTTATATTACATCTGACCTTCGGAATGTATGGAATTATGCGTCGGAAGTCCAGATCGTGAAGAGGCCCGCCAGGCGCTGGGCGCGGGATTGATCTATTGCAGCGTGGGCAAGCCACAGGGCTTCCTTGCATGCCAGCAATCATTACGCTGGTGACTCCCCGTTAATTCATTCACAGAAAACGATCCAGATTCAGATCATTTGGATCTCTTCCCTGAGAGGCTCCTCACGCATACTGCCGGCATGGGCGAAGGTGATGGCCCCTCCACATCCGAGGTGGTGCCACCCAGGAAGGTCAAATACTGCCAAATAACAGGTGAAGTATGGCTGAATCATCTCTTAGTCGGTATACGAGCCCGCCAATGCTCCTGTCTCACCCACGGCACCACACGTCTCGCCACTCGCACAAAGGTGTGCCGGAGGAGTTCAACGACTTCCTGCCCAAGGACTGCGACGAGTACAAGAAGCTGAAGGCTGCACAGCAGAGTGCAGCCGAGAGCGGGCTGGAGGAGCTGGCGCTTCAGTCCCTGCCAGCGGGTCCCCCTGCTGCCAAGCAGTTACCAGGGAACAAGGGGAAGAAGAAGAAGGGGAAACCAGAGGTAAGATTGTGGGTGAAGGGGGCGAAGACGTGGTAATGTGATACAAATGCATACAGTGGCATGCACATGCGTGACTGGGAAGGGAGGCGCATCAATTAACTCGAGTGGGCCAGTGTGGCCCCTCAAGCGACCTGCTGCAGCATGGCCGAGTACCAACATGCAAGTCAAACCCTCCCGGAGAATATTTGTGGCCACCTGTTGCTCAGCCAGTGCCGGCCATGCCAACCATCCACCCCAGGTTGTGTTGGAGCGCAACACCCGCAACAAGAAGAAGTGTGTGACGACGATCTCTGGTCTGGATCTCTTTGGCGTGAAGCTGGCCGAGGCCTCCAAGATCTTTGGCAAGAAATTTGCCAGCGGGGCTTCCATCGTAAAAAACGCCGAGGGCAAGGAGCAGATTGACATTCAGGTGAGTTGGGTGTGTACATGCGGGGCAGAGCATGTCTATGAGGGGTTGAGGATTCAGATGCAAACCCTGCTAGGGAATGCCTTCACTTGTGAGGATGAACGCTGTCATTCCCCACACTGCCTGGGAATACATTGATGGCCGGCCTGCGACATGCACAGGGAGATTTCGTGGACCCTGCGGTGGACCTCATCCTCAAGCAGTTCAAGTCCATCAAGAAGTCTGACCTGGCCCTGGTGGAGAACAAGAAGAAGGCACCATACTTTGACGAGGAAGACAGCGAGGATGAGGACGAGCTCTTCGACTAGCATTCCCGTATTGTCTCTGGAAGCAACCCTCCTCGTGCCCATGCCAGCCAGGCCTGGACAAGACCCCTCTTGGTGGTCCCGCTGACATGGCTTGAGCTGTGACCCGCTGCCTCCCACCTTAATTCTGCAAGTTTACATCTCTGAGCCAGCTGAGCAGTGCACCGAAGCATGGCTGAGTACTGTCAGCAGTGGCGGTGTTCTTCTTGAGAAGTGTGCAGGGGAGACGATGCTGAGGCAAGGCTCCAGGAGCGCGGCAGATGAAGAGGTCTGTGAGATCAGGGTTTGGACTGCCTGGCTCGCCCGCCAGCAGACTTGCCAGGAGAAACAGGAAATGGGGACATGGCGACGAGTCACTCACGGCCTCGCTCGCCCATCCTTCTCCTCCTTGGGCCCCTTGGCAGCCTGCGACTTGGGCCTGCCCCTCCTCCGCTGCTGCGCGGGCTTGGCGGCTCCCGCCTTGGCATCTGCCAAGGGCGGCGCCTGCTTCACCGGGGCCGTGGCAGCCGCAGCCTTCAGGCCCTGCGCCGTGGGGGCGGGTGCTTCCCCCGCCCTGGCCGCGGACGCTTCACCGATCCTGGCCGCGGACGCTTCACCGACCCGCGCCGCCGCCGCGCCGCCCGTCCTGGACGCCCCCGCGCCACCACCCCGGGCAGTCGGTGCGGCGCCCGCCCCGGGCCCGGCCCCCGCGCCCCGCCCGTTCCGGAGCAGGCCCTGCGGCACGCTGCGCTGCTGCGTGGGGCGGTCCGGATCCGGCACCTCGTGCGCGATGACCACCACCTCCGGGCAGCGGTTGTTGAAGTTGCGGGCCGCCACCGCCAGTGCGCCGCGCGCCGCGCGCTCCACGTCGCCCAGCGGGGCATGGGCCGGCAGGGCGCACACCGCGCGCTCCGCAGCGGCGTGCAGCACCCGCAGCAGCCGCTTGCCGTCCTGAAAGAGTTGTTTGGGGGAGGTGCAAGGATATCTGCACATCGGCACAGGAAAAGGACGACTGCACCGTCCCTCTCGCTGCACCTTTGGAAGGTGCTGCCACGCTCGTGAATGGTCCCTAGCCCCCCCCCTTCCTCCTCTTTGCAATGTTGCCCCTTCCCAATCATCACCACCCAACAAGACGAAGACTCTACACAGCCCCTCCCTCCAAACTCCGCCTCGCTCGCCTGCCACATGGCCCGGGTGGTGAGGCGCACGCGGCCCCTCAGCCGCGGCGCCTCCTGATCCTGGGTCAAATCACGCGGCTCGCGCTGCGCGGGCCGCTGCACGTCCACCGCCGCGATGATGATGCCGTCGTTGGCCAGCTGCTGGCGCATGGCCAGCCCCATCTCCTCGGCGCTGCCCGTGCCCTATACGCGCGCGTGTGTGCGTGGAGGGGTGGTTAAAAATGGGGGAAAATGGGTCGAGGCGCGAGGTGAGGTGGCCATGGTGGAGGTGGGGGAGGAGTCTCAGGGCGCCAAGGACCTGGAGAAGATCAGTATCCAAACGAGACCACCACTCAGGGTATGCTGGGCGAGAAATCCACGCCTCCCACCCCGCCCAAGACCCCAGCCGCCCACCTTGTCGCCATCGTTGTAAAAGGTCGTCAGCGCGGCCTGACCCACGACGGAGAGGCTGGTGGGCGTACCGTACTCGGCGCGGTTGCGCCGGTCCCCCACGCCCACCATCTGCCCATTTCTGACCACCAGAGTGTGCTGGATGCCGTTGTCCCGCGCCAGCTGCGAACGCACGTGAGGGTTCGGAAGGCTTGGAGATCGGGGTGAGGATAGTGTGGTGGGGCGGTAGGAATTGGCGGCAGGAACAAGCCAGACATCAGCGCGGGGCCCTGGCCATCCAAGGATGGCATTGCATTTCCCCCTGCAGACCGACCATCTACTCCCTCGCAGCCCGTCAGGTGCAAGCTACCCGCCACACTCCAGCTGCCATCGCACCTGAGCGTGGGCGCAGAGGAAGGCGTACTCGCCGTGGACGGGCAAAAAGTGCTGAGGCTTGATCAGTCGCAACACCTCCTCCAGCTCATCTCTGGCGGTGACGGGGCGGGTGATGGGAAATGGGGGTTGATTGAGGCCACTGCCATGCACAAGGGCATAGGTTGGCTCCCTTGAACACGCACACCTATACAGGCATCCAAGCCATGTGCACAGCACTTCAGCGCACCTGTAGGCGTGCCCTGACGTGTGCAGGTTGGTGCCGCTGCCCATGATGACCTGAGTGCCCAGCCCTGCGATGGCATTCATCATGGACATCACCTACACGTAAGGGGGACCAAGGGGGGTAGGGGGCGGGGGGGGGGGTGGGGGGGGGGGGGGGCGGGGGGGGGGGGGGGGAGTGGGAGGGGGGAGCCTTGCGACGCACGATCGCCTCGACCGGCCCCCTCCTGCCTCGACACCACCCTCCATGCCATCGCCTCAGGCCCCCTTGGCGGGCTTGGGGTCGGGAATCTCATGCGACCCCAGCGCGGCCGACCCCGGGAAGGTGGCGCAGGCGGGCGCGCAGACCGTGGCCTCCTCGCCGCCCTCTCCGATCTGGGAGCGCCAGTAGGCCGCGGCACCCTCGATGTGGGGCATGGCTGCGGCCACGAAGTTGGGCGCCAGCCCCTCCACCAGCTTGAGGCAGGGGGTGAGGAAGATGTTGATGAACTTGAGCTGGCCGCAGGCCACGGGCGCGGAGGCACGGTCGCAGACGGCGGTGACCTCCAGCCCCAGCGCGCGCTCCAGGTCGCCCTGCTTGTACATCTCGTCGTGGATCTTGCGCCCCCACACCATGCAGTGGTGCAGCGGACGCGCGGGGTTGGAGATGTCGGCGGTGTGCAGCAGCATCTGCAGCGCCTTGACCCGCGCCTCCCCCGGCCAGGCCACCAGGTCGGGCCCCAGCTCGGCCAGCGTGTCGGCAAAGTCGTCCAGCGCGGCCGCGTGGTAGGCCATGTCGGTGCACAGCACCATGGCCTCCACCAGGCGCAGGAACTCGGCGCGGTCCTCAGGCGGCAGCCGGCAGATGAAGTCGTTCTCGGGGCGGCGCAGCAGCTCGAAAGCCAGCGCGACGTGCATCGACTCGTTCACCGACTTGCCGCCGCACTGCTTGGCGCAGTCTGCCTCGGTGCGCACCAGGAAGGCGTTCTGCACGCCCGGGTGCCCCAGGTCGTGCACCGCGCCGGCGATCAGCAGCGCCAGCTGCTCCAGCGGCGTCAGCGCCGCGCCGTAGGCGTCCATGGCCAGCATGGCGCCCAGGGCCTGGGTCACGTCCGCCGCGTGCGTGGAGTTGTGGTAGGGATTGGGGCA